TGGAACTGGAGTTAAGGACGGTTCGTAGCTGCCATGTGGGTGCTGGGAATCAAACCTGGGTCCTTTGCAAGAGCAATCAGTGTTCTTAACTGCTGAGCCATCTCTCCGGCCCCACAAGACCCTATCTTAAAAAACAAAAAGAGGAAAAAAAAAAATGCTGGGCATGGTGGTGCACACCTTTAATCCCAGCACTTGGGAGGCAGAGGCAGGCAGACCTCTGTGAGTTCAAGGCCAGCCTGGTCTACATAGTGAGTTCCAGGATAGCTAGGGCTACAAGGAGATCCTGTCTCAAAAAGACCAAAAAAAAGAAAAATAATAATAATAATAAATAAAAGATAAAAAGAGGGGACTGGAGAGATGGCTCAGCCCTCTTGCAGAGGACCTGGGTTTGATTCCCAGCATACACATGGCAGTTAACAACTGCCCAAAACTCCAGTTCCTGGGGATCCAAAGCCCTCTTCTGACCTCCATGAGTATTGCACAACACAGGTGCACTTATATGCATGCAGGCAATACACACATATACATAAAGTAAATAATACTAATAAATCTTTTAAAAATATTTTATTATTTTTATTTTATGTGTATACGTGTATTGCCTGCATGTAGTTAAGTGCACCCATCTCGTGCAATGCCGGTGGAAAACAGAAGAAACTGTCATGTCAGATTCCCTGGAACTGGAGTTACAGACAGTTGTTAGCTGCCATATGGGTGCTGGGATTCAAACTCGGGTCTTCTGCAAGAATGGTCACTGTTCTTAACCACTGAGCCAGCCATCTCTCCAGCCCCAATAATAATAAAATGTTTTTTAAAAATTTTAAAGCCAGGCATGGTGGTGTACACCTTTAATCCCAGCACTTGGGAGGAAGTGGCAAGTAGATCTCTGTGAGTTTGAGGCCATCCTGGTCGCCTGGTTTACATAGTGAGTTCCAGGACAGCTGGGGCTACAGGGAGACCAATAAATAAATAAATAAATAAATAAATAAATAAATAAATAATAAAATATTTAAAAGGCTGGGCATGGTGGCGCATACCTTTAATCCCAGCACTTGGGAGGCAGGGGCAGGCAGATGTCTGAAATCTAGGCCAGCCCAATCTACATAAGGAGTTCCAGACCAGTTGGGATTATGGGGGTTGGGAGGGCCAAAGAGATGGCTCAGCAGTTAAGAGTACTGGCTCCTCTGACAGAAGATCTGAGTTTGGTTCCCAGCCCCCACACGGCAGCTAACAACCATCCATAACTCTAGTTCCAGGTGAATCCAACACCCTCTTCTGACCTCTGTAGGCACTGCACAACACAGGAGCACTTACATATATGAAGGCAATACATTCATACACATAAAATAAAAATAATAAAATTTTTAAAAAGAAAGAAGAAAAACAAAACAAGCTCTTCAATCTCAAAAGGAATCATTGGGAGTAAGAGACATTAACACCCACAAACACACAGGAGGATGCACACCCTCGTAGAACTTTGTTCATCTAGACACAGCCTTTCATAGTGTTACCAATCATCCAGGGATAAAGTATCAGGGCCTTGAAAATGTGGTTTTGTCTAATACGGTGATGACCATCCCCTCGCTCACATTACTATTTTGTGTATGCCTATTCAAGATGGTGCAAGTGTTCACTGATGCATGTGCATGTAGAGAACAATCTCAGAAGTCAGTCCTCGGTTGCCTTCTACCTTGTTTTATCACACAGGGTCTCTGACTAGCACTCACCAATTTTCCTAGGGTAGCCAGTCAGCAAGGCCAAGAGGCCCCCTGTTTCTGCATCCAGTGCTGAGGCCCCTGGGCCCGGCCTTTTTTTTTTTTTTTTTTTTGTCTTTTTGAGACAGCCTCTCCCTGTAGCGCCAGCTGACCTGGAACTCACTATGTAGACCAGGACCAGGCTAGTCTTGAACTCACAAGGATCTGCCCGCCTCAGCCTCCCGAATGCTGGGATTAAAGGTGTGCACCATCATGCCTGGCCTTGGGCCTAACCTTTTTTACATGGGTCTGGAGATCAAACTCAGGTCCTCATGCCTCATGACAAGCACTTTACCAAGTGAACTATCTCCCCAGCCTCTTACTATTGTTTTTCTAACTGCTATTTTTTAATGAAACAATGACTTTTTCTAAGACAGCATTCTCTTAACAGAAACAACCTTTAGAAAATCATAGAGAAAAACTTCTATTTGCTAAAGACTCTTAGTGGCAATTAGTGAAAATTACAAAGAGATCACATAGTTACAATGAACTACCCAAAAGCACAATCTATAGCCTACAGCTTGGTCATCAGCAAAATGCATTGTCAAGAAAAAGATGTAAAACATTATCAACTTGAAAGCAGCTATAGAAAGAACTTAAGACACTCTATTAGGAGAAATAGTTCAAATTCCTCAATTGCAATATTAGCTAAGAAGAAAGAAATAAACATTCCCTAACCCTTCAATAAGAAAAGAGAATCTAGTCAGACTAGGTGGCACACACCTTTGATCTCAGCACTTGAGAGGTAGAGGCAGGTGGATCTCTGTGAGATTGAGGTCAGCCTGGTCTACATAGCAAGTTCCAGGCCAGCAAGGGCTACAGGGAGACCCTACCTCAAAAAAAGAAAAGTGTATCTTTCCCTCAGGACATTCAGGAGGCTGAGGACTGCCACAGCTAGAGATCAACTTAGGCTACATAGTAAGTTCCAGGACAACCTGAACTTCAGAGTTAGACGTTACCTTTAAAAGGGGGAAGGACATTCCAAAATGATTTAGGGTTTCCTACTACTATCTCTAAACTCAGAATTCTAAGTTCAAAATAACTGAGAATAGCTTTATTCCAATTCTGGGAGACCGTTATACCACACAGAACAAGACTAAGGACTCATCATCACACAGCAATGGGGAGCAGGAGATTCTACCCTGGGTACCAGGGACCACTGTACCCTGCAGGAGGGATGATAATGTGGTTCTTCGCCTACCTATTCCAAATGATGGATTTGAGAGATGAGAGAAAACAAAATACAGGGCAGAGGTTGAAAGCAACAGAAGAACATATATTTAGCATGCACGGTTCTCTGGGTTTGATCCCTAGCATCAGTAAACAAAATACATGCACACATGTGCATAAACATACATACACACACACACACACAAAACACACACACACAGAGACACATACATGCACACAAATCAAATAAAGGCTGAAGGAGAAAGAATATGTATGTAATATCTAACTCACCAACTTGTCTAAACCTATGTGGAAAAATTTTACTTAGCAACCTGGAAATGGTTTGTGGTAG